ATCTATTATCTATAAATCATCTATCTATATATATATATATATATATATATATATATATATATATATATATAAAGTATATAATTGGTATACAATTTTGAATGAATTCCAATAACCAACAATTACTATAAAAAAAAAGTGCTCAATAAAACAAGTAAAAAGATATTTATTTTATTATTAATTTTATTTATATTATTAATTTTAATATTAAATTTTATCATATAAATTTATAATTATTAGTTAGTAAAAATTATTTTTAATATTACACGTATTTAAAGATCTAAATAGCTATAATAGAAGGATTTTGTTGTCAAGCTTTTGAATCTTTCTTACTTCGGTTTTGATTGGTTATTCTTTTTTTGTAACAATTTCCCCTAGTGTAGGATCGTTAATTAATCTAAACTTTTAAAACCATTTATTTTCTTTTCAACACCATCACTTGATAAGACACAGAGTGTGTTGAAACAAAATGGCTATTTTGTAGTGATTTTATAACATACTTATGTTATAAATTTTAAAATAAAAATAATTATATATATATATATATATATATATATATATATATATATATATGTGTGTGTGTGTATATGTGTGTGAAAAGTGTATATAAATATAAATAAATATATATATATATAATTATTTATATATATATATATATATATATATAAATATATCAATATATATATATATATAATATATTTGGTTGGATAGATGTGAGTTTGTGACCCTGGGTTTCACGCTTTTAGCGATCGTCAGACAAACTGATTAATGTTTTAAAAAATTTGGGTTTATGTAGATTGCGTGTATTGGTGTTATTATTGGAAGTGGTGGGGAATTTTCGTCGTTTTGTCATTCATCGTACTAACGCAAACATCGATGTATGCAGACACATATACATACTTGGTCGTCCGTCGGGACTCATACATATATAAACATATGTGGGCAGTTTCGGCTATGACACATGTATGTATACGGGTGGTGTTATGTCTATACATACGCATTTGTATGTTGAAATGTTGAAATTTAAACATTGGAAGTGTGACGGAAATGTCTAGTTAATGTCTCGTGACTGTATACATGTCATATTATGTATATATATATATTTTTTTTTTTTCGCTGAAAAATATTTCCTCGCTTGTATGTATATACGTGTGGTGGGGTTTGTGTAAAATTATGATAGGTAAAAATTATAATTTATATTTATTTTTAAATTTTTGAAAAAAATGGGAGTTTATTTGTTATATTTAAAGCTGGTTATTTGTTTGTTTTTGGTGACTGTGTATATGTAACAGGTAGAAATTTGTAATCCTTATTGTTTAATTTATATGGTGATGTTTAATATTCAATGTGCTGGGTGAGAGGGTGGTTCAATTTAATAACGGGTCTATTTGATATGATGTGATAGTAATGTTTCAAGGGATTGGAGACAATGATATTTAGCTAATAGTTATTGTAAATTGGAAGAAATTGCAAATTGGTAGAAATGATTAGTAACGGTGGTGGGAGAATGATAAAACCATGAATGTAGTTATAGTGTTGGTAGCTTGAACTAAAAAAGTGGTTGTTGGTGTTTTATTTTTTTTTTGTTTTTATTTTGTTATATGTATTAATTTATTTTGGTATAAATCCTGATAATAGGTATTCTGTGTAAAATTATGGTAGTTGAAGATTGCTATAATTTTTTTTATTTTTTAATTACAAAATTATTTTTTTATTATATTAAAGCTGCCTGGTAATAGGTGTTTGTTCTCATGGTTACATATGGAAATCATATCTGATCATATTGTTTTAAGGTATTAAATATGCTGGGGGAGTAATAAAGATTGTAGTGGATTATATGTTAATAGTGGGTGTGATGTGTAAGTTAATGATGGTTTTTGTGTTGGTGGTAATGATAATATTGATAGTTAATAGATATTGTAAAGTGGTAAAAGTACTAATGGTGGTGCAATTATAATAATGATAGGTGCAATTATTTTGATGGTATCTTGAAATAATATATATATATATATATATATATATATGATGGTATCTTGAAATATATATATATATATATATATGAAAGTGAACATTGAAGTAAGCACTTAGAGGCAACAGGCTGTTTCATGCTAGACGCAATGTTTCGTGGCCTGACGATCGCGTCTAGCAGGAAATAGCTTGTCGCCTCTAACGACTTAAATGTTCACATTTATATTTACACACGTTCTTACTGGTTACTGGGATAAAACAATAGTCATTATTTTAATTTTAATTCTTTAACGTAGTATGGTTTTAAGCTAATTTTAGTTTTTAGTGTTTGTTTTTAACAATAAATATTAAAAATTAAAGAAGACAGGCAATGAACTGCGATTAAGCTTTTTTCATTAATTTTTCTTGTGTTCGAAAATATTGGTTTATGTTGGTTTATGTTTCTAGAGTTATAGGGATGTTTTATTTTCCGAACACATTTAAAACATTGTGGCCGTTTTCGTATTATTGAGTGTTATTGAGCGTTGTCCTTTTCTTTTTTATTATTAAGGCTTCCATTTTTTTAAAACTTGTTTTACATGTGGATGAGGATATTATGCTGTATTATCTCTTAGTATGTTTCATATGGAATGTCATAAGTTTGCGTGTGTGTTTAAACGGGTTCTAATGCAGTTATGAGTCGTCTAGATAGGCTTGTAGTAGTGTGACAGATTTAATTATATATGAGTTCGGTTTGCTCATGAACACAGTTACTTAAGGGCATTTAAACATTTATATATATTTATATTTATATATAGAGATCAATCTTTTAGAAAAAAATTGCATTTTCTAAAAACGTGTACTGTAATAGAAATGTTGGATAGATTGTGCGAAGGCAATGTATGCGTTGTTGTTTTGTTCAGTTAATTTCGTGCGTCTCAGTCATTTTCAAGAATCAATGTGGTGTACGGTACGCAGAATTACCGTATTCTTCGGAAAGCTGAAAACTTTAAAGGGACTACGCATTTGTAAATGCTATTTGGGAGGGGGCCCCACCAGATGAGGATGTATTTCTCTGTCTGTCTCTCTCTCATTCTCTCTGTCTCTCTCTCTTTCCCTTTCACTATATATATATATATATATATATATATATATATATATATATATATATATATCCTATTAAATAAATATATTAAATCATTAAATCATATATCGTACTTCAAGGTAATGTCTCCTAAAAGGCTATATTTTATCTAATATCGGCGATTTATTTTGTATTATAATTTGATTATAATTACCTTGCACTGGGTGTTTTTTTATATATATATATATATATATATATATATATATATATAGATATAGAGGTTCGTGTTTACCTCGCAATTAATATAATTTTTCAAAATTTTTGTGTTTCAAACTTTTTTTTATATATATATATATATATATATATATATATATATATATATATATATATATATATATATATATATATATGCATATATATATATATATATATATACATATATATATATATATATATATATATATATATATATATATATATATATATATATATATTTGTGTGTGTGTGTGTGGTGCGATAGAAAAAATCATCCAAAAATGAAAATAACAATGGCATCTAATTTAAAATATATATTTGCCAAAGTTACACAAAAATATATTGAAATACTAAAAAGTAAATTTATTCTATAAAATCGCCATTGGTATCACATACCACCTGCTACATCTCTTCTAGATGGTCTTCTTGATTAATTTTGTCGATGGAACCATAATCCTTGCCTTCACTTCATCTTTGGTGTTGTAAGGAGTTTTTGGGTCTCTCTCTCTTTGGTCACATAATAATCAAGTGTGTTGCAGTCTGGCAGCCTGATGTAAGCGGTAATCTGTTAGCAGAAATTTTCTGAGTCATGATTGTGTTCTCTCGCTTGTGTGCTATGGTGTAAAGTCCTGTTGCTATACATACTATTTTTCAGTAGCCACCCTCTATACTGTGCGGCACTTGATGTAGGCCTCTCTGTTGAGTCTTAGGCCCTCACCAACCAATTCGGAAGTTCCTTTCGTATCAGAACGATTAGAGTGAGTTTTCCTATCTACCGTACCTTCGTATTCACCATTAGAGTCATCCAACTCTTTCCAAATTTTTGCACTCTCCACAGATTGACACCAAGATTCTCTGAAATGTTCCTAATGGAGCTTCCGGCGATAATGCCAAGCAGTACACCATGCCGTTTCCAAATTTCTGGCGGAGTGAATTGCGTCGTGGTGAAGCTTTTTTTCACAGACGGTACCCGACTGAACCTACTCTACTTTGCAGTCGATAATAATCAAAGAAAAATTAAAAATATGCAATGACGACAATTTACCCATTCCACAGTGTGTCTTTGTTTGTGTGTGTGCGTGCACGTTCGTGTGGTTGTGTCTTCTGAGTGGGGTGAAGCCATTTTTTTTTAATGTATTTAAAGTTAGCATCAATATTGTGCCCAGAACTCGATCGATTTCCACCGCGGTTTTGGAAAAACGTTCGTCAAACAATAATAGATCTTCGACTCAGATAACTGCCTTTAGTCCAAACTTTTCAAAAGAAGAATTATTTTTAAAATCACCTGATTTATTTGGACTAGTATCGTGATTATGGGTATTATCACTACAACGTTTCAATCATTTGACATCTCCAGCCTTCTTCAGGAGTTGGTAATGTTCCAGGAATTTTGAATCGAAAACTTTATTCGATACACTGTTCTAGGGAGTACTGCCTTTCGGTTTTGTACTTGACTGATGGCTGCTGAATAAAAGTTTTGTATCTGTTTATATTTCTGGTATGAGGTATTATGTACATTATTTACATTATTCGGACTATTGCCCTCATGTTTGTCACCATATTTATCACAACGTTTCGGCCGTTGTACGCTCCGACCTTCTTCAGGTGGTTGGAATGTTGAGATTTATTGGGGTTTGTGGGTTCAATCCATGCAGAAGATACCTAGTCAAAAATGTTATCTACTCTATTCCAATGTTATCAGGCATACGGCACACCACATTGAAACATCAGTTCCCGTACGATCACCAAAGTTAAGCAACGTCGAGCCTGGTCAGTACTTACATGGATGACTGCTTGGGGACATCAGGTGTTGCAAAATTGGATGTGCCGGGGATGTAATGAATAATGTCTCGGAATTGTTAATCGGAGAATCAAGTTCCAATTTCAGTTGGGTTGGTGATGATTATATTCACTTAAGCACAGATATCCTTGAGAGAGATATTAATCCTCCTCTTTTCTCCTCAGCTTTGGGTTAATTAGTAAGTTATATGTCACTAAACCATTGTTATCACCAAATATAAAATAAAATTGCGTACAAAATATCTAGATTTTGGCATTAAATATCCCATAGAGATGCCACCAAACAAAACAAACGCAAAGAAAACAACCAATGATATCACTTAGATGAATTAACTGATATGAGATATTCTTCGATATGAGCAAAATGGGAAGAATCTACTCTGTAGATTGAATAAAGTGTTCGGCTTTAAATTCCCAGAAGAATATTAACTCCGTCTTACATCTGAAGAAGGCAGGTGAAATCCTGTGAGGTGAATAAACATTTACACTATTTAAACTGTTCGGACAATTGTCCTCAGCTTTATTGCTATATTGACGACGTTTCAGTCGTTGTATTCTCCGGTCTTCTTCTGTCAAACAGAACAAAACAACTAGTGATGAGATATTCTTCGACATGAGTAGAATGAGAAGGATGTCCTCTGTAGATTGAATAAAGTGTTCGACTTTAAGTTCTCTGGAGATTAGCAACTCCATTAGACATCCGAAGAAAGCAAGCGAGTAAAACAGAGAAAATCCTGTGAGGATAATAAACATTTGCACTATTTACATTATTCGAAATGTTGTCCTCGTAATTATTGTCATATTGACGACGTTTCGGTCGTTGTACGCACACGGCTTCTTCGTGTGGATTGGAATTTCGTACTGAACCTTTTATTTCGTCCACCCTGGTAAATTGTTCTAGTTCCACATGTCATGCCTCTTCCGGATGTCTCAGTATCAGTTATCTCCCTTTAACTCATATCTCCAATTTCTTTTTTGTTCAACTCAGCTGTAGCTAGGTATTGAACTTACAAATCTTTGGTTCATATCACTGGATCCAACCAAAGCTTTTATTGTCCTGTGGATAAAAGCGTTGGTTGAATGCAGTCACTTGACTCAAAGAGTTGTAAGTTCAATACCTGGCTACAGATGAGGTGAACAAAATTGAACATTTTGCAGATTTAAGTCAAAGAATGATAACTGTTACTGAGACATCCAGAAGGGGCATGGCACGTGGAACTAGAAAAATTTACGAGAAGAAAGCCGGAGCGCAAAAAGGCTGAAACTTCATGAATAGGGTACCGAAGATGAGGATAACAGCCCGAACAATGTAAATAGTGTAAATGTTTTTTATCTTCACTGGAGTTCCTATATTTTACTCACGGGCCTTTTCAGATGTCGGACGGACTTGCTATTCATCCGAGAATTTAAAGCCGAACACTTTATTAAATCTACAGAGTAGATTCTTCTCATTCTGCTCATGTCGAAGAACATCTCATATCACTGGTTGTAGTTTTTTTTTTCCTTTTATTGTGTTTGGCAGAGGAAGAACGGAGCATACAACGGCCGAAACGTCGTCAATATGTCAATAAAGATGAGGACAACAGTTCGAAGATGTAAACTATTTATGTAAACTATTTAAATTATTACAATACCTCGTCTGAGAAATATAGACAGATAAAAAACATGTTTAGGCTGTTAGCCTGAACAAATCAGTCTGTTATTATAAAAAGAGTTCAAATGTGATTTTTCGGCCTTGAAGATAATGAAATATTTTCACGCTGAATCCCCTTTACTACAGACGAAATGTTCTTCCTTATACTTTCCATAGTCTATCGCTGTTTTTCATGGTAGATGATCAAATAAATTACATTTCTTTAGTTCCACTAGTAGATAATGCCACAGTTGTGTGCCTCTAATCTAGATACACCGAATCAACTCATCCACATTCCCTTGTTGCTTCACTGGTAATGAGGATATTCTCAAAAAGCTTTATCACCACAACTGTAACATTTTTGGTTTAGTTTGTTTTGTTTTACGGCATATCAACCTCAATGGTTTATTTAATGCCAACAAGATTTTATTCATCAGAAATCTATTGTTGGTAATATTGGATTGTTTTGTTTTACGTAATATCAGCCTCAATGGGCTATTTAATACCGACAAGATTTCTTTGGCTGGTAATATTTTTTTGTCAAAAATATATTGCTGGTATTTTTGTTCAAAAATGTATTGCGGGTAATATTGTTTTTTTTTTTTTGTTTGTTTTAGAGCATATCAGCCACAATGGGCTATTTAATACCGACATTTTTCTTTGGCTGGTAATATTTTTTTTTTCAAATATATATTGCTGGTATTTTTGTTTAAAAATGTATTGCTGGTAATATTGTTTTGTTTTGTTTTAGAGCATATCAGCCACAATGGGCTATTTAATACCGACATTTTTCTTTGGCTGGTATATTTGGCAGATATATATTGCTGGTATTTTTGTTCAAAATGTATTGCTGGTAATATTGTTTTGTTTTGCAGCATATCAACCACGGTAGGTTATTTTATGCCGACAAGATTTTATTGCTCGTAATATTTTTTCAGAAATGTATTGCTGGTAATATTTTTTTTCAAAAATGTATTTTTTGTAATGTTTTATTCAAAACTGTATTGCTGGTAATATGTTTTTTCCAGAGCCTATTGCTGGTAATATTGGTTTTTGTTTTACGTCATTTCAACCTCAATAGGTTATTTAATGCTGACAGTATTTGTATTGCTAGTAATATTTTTTCTAAAAATGTATTGCTGGTAATATGTTATTTTTAAAAAAACGTATTATTGATAATATTTTTTTCAAAAATGTGTTGGTGGAAATAATTGTTTCCTCAAAATATTATTGCTAGTAATGATTTTAACAAAAATGTATTGCTATTACTAAAACCTATTTTTACACGTTCATAGTTTTTTGATCCCAGTTTAATGGGGGCAACTATTTGCCCATAGCTGTAACCCTAACATGTGCTATTACATCGTGTCAGGGTGGACCTGGGAACAACAGCAATTAAGAAGTGGTTTCACGATCCTCAAAGCCTCCTGATCAGAGGCCTTGCTGTTGGATGTAGTTTATCGTCTTGCCCAGGACGCGTATGTAGTTTATCGTCATACACTGTGACTTTTTGAAGAGCCTGCCGACAGGTACATTTCCGAATACTTCAAGACAAGGATCAACCGCTATTTATCCTACATATCCTCATGATATGCACCACTTGCTTCCGCTTGACTCACTCTTACAACAAACCTATTTAGTAACACTCTAGCTTGAGTTGCTCTTGGGTCTTACATTCGTTGAATATTAGTAGAAAAAAAAATAAAACCGTAAATACTTATTCAGAATTATAAAAAAGAGCAATAAATTCTAATTATATTTTTTATCAAAGAAAAAAAGCAAATATGACGGCGTATTTGTTTGGGCATGTGCGCGTGTATATGTATGTGTGGTTGTCCTGTTTGTATGCGCGCACGCTAACTAGAAAAGTATTATCAAGGTCGAAAGCGGGTAATTGTATTTTAATTACAATCACTGCAAAGGGAAAGAAGGTGAGTGTTTTCTTGAATGTTCTTTGATTAGGAATTATGGGAGACTGCTGTAAATTTTGACGAGAATCTGTTCCGTTTTGTATCTAAATATTTACCACCTCTGCAAATAGTGACAACACTGTAAAAAGAGACAGTCCTACGACGGTCGGTGTTAATACGGAAGGGCGGTGTTGCTTTAAAATAGAGGAAGACGCTTCTTTCCGACGACTTTTTACAGTATACTCGAGTGCAACTGCATTGTTTACAGACATTGATGTGACGATGCATGCGACAACCTTGCCAGAGTGTGTCCGAATACTAGTTTTAAAGTGGGACAATCAACCAACATTAATAGTAGGCAGAGAATCATTTTAAAAACTGCTACTATATTCTCCTCAGTACGTACGTTTCTATAGTGCAGTGTCTGTCTGTACGAGAATAATAAATATTTTTATATTAAAAGACGAGGGTACCATTAGTTTCTTTACATTAATCTATCTATACAATAGTATATTTTATTCTTGTTCATAAGTATCTATCTATCTATCTATCTATCTATCTATCTATCTATCTATCTATCTATCTATCTATCTATCTGACAGTTTATTTTATTCGCGTTCATATCTATCTTATCTATCTATTTAGCTACCTAGCTATCTCTCGATGTTCATTTTCTATCTATCTATCTATCTATCTATCTATCTATCTATCTATCTATCTATCTATCTATCTATCTAGCTATCTCTCGATGTTCAATTTCTATCTATCTATCTATCTATCTATCTATCTATCTATCTATCTATCTATCTATCTATCAGCTTGAATGTTTGTAGTATGACCTTGTGTAAATTTTACGGTCATTGACACCATGTCTCAAGATGTGTCGGTTTGTTGGTTTAAAATCTAAATATAAACAGCATCGAAAATTCAGGCGATCAACATGTTTATAATTAGGCAACTGTATTGCCCCTCTCCATCTCTATCTCTCTTACACTCTCTCTCTACATATATATATATATATATATATATATATATATATATATATATGTGTGTGTGTGTGTGTGTATATATATACACACATACACATACATACACACACATATATATACACACACACACATATATATATATATATATATATATATATATATATATATATATATTGCTTTATTCATATATATCCCGTATACGTAAATATGTATGAGATTGTGATTATGTTTGCGAATATGTGTAGAAGTGCATTTATATATACACGGAGATAGACATGCAATTGGTTACGAACACACGGAAATAAACTCTCGGCTAGATACACAGATAGATATTTAAGAAGACATTAGAATATTAGATATAACTGCGTATTGCAATGGCTATTTATAGACACATGAAAAGATCAATCAACGAATCAAGTCTACTTTTCTATATGGAGTTGAGTACGTCTGTTTGCGTGTTCACACATATATATATATATATATA